TCATTGGAAAATCTTTAAAACTACCTTAGTCTGGTGATCAGAGACCCCATATTAAAGGCAATCACAGTAAAAATAAACGTTTTTGTTGGGTACAGAAAGAGCAACCCAATTATCTATTAGTTTCTGACCCTTAATAGACAAAGTTCCTCAGCCAACATATACACACAGGCACACACTTACACCCCTCACTCATAATCTTCATCTTTGGGGAGAAAAAAATAATTTGAAGGATCTAATTTATAAATAACAGGTTCCATTAATAGAATTTAAAATATCACCTATTACATTTGGAGTAAAGGTAAAAATGAAGTAGATTCTTTACTCTGATTATGTTCTTTGCTATACTTGAATCTTTTGTGTAAGTAAATTCTAGATTTGACATGAGAAGGTACTGCATTAAAAGTCTTCAACTTATATGCTTATTTTCAAACTAAAATTCCTTTAGCTAAGAAATTTCAATAAGAGAAAGCCAGTATACTAATCAATTTTAGTAATTCCTACTGAAAACCTAAGAATCATGTGATGGACTGTAAACATTTAAATTTACTGACTGCAAGTTAATCATAATTCTTTCATGATATAAGTATTCAGCTTTGCTACAGTGAATAATCTGCAGCTTTTGTCCTGATTTAAGGACAAAGTAGGAATTATCTTTGCTAATTCGGTCAAATAAATGAAAATACCCCTTACATTCTTAGTCATTTTCTAAAGTAGAAAACCTACTTCATTGAAAAATACATGCACGGCTCCAATTTCAGACAAGAAAGCTAAAGTTAAGTCTTGTGGTTCAAGACTCAAGGAGAAATTTATGGCTGGGATAAAGAGTTCATGGAAAGCCTCAGGAAATTACAGAGAAGAATAATTGAACAATGTTCATTTTAATTATTTCCAAATGGAGGGCAGCCTTGGTTTGCAGTATCGTTTATTTCTTGGACTTGCTTTTTATCTGGTTTGCCATGATTTTCCGATCACTATTTAGATAATTTCAGAGCAAACGATTTCACTTAAATCTCTTTTCACTTTTATTGTCTTTTACCTATTCTCTTCTGATTTGTTAGGTCTTACTATTGTTACTGGCCAAGAGAGTGCCCCCCCCCAAAGAATTTTAAGTTTCCTTTCCTATAGAAATATTAAGTATAGAAATGTTAAGTCTCCTCCCTAGTTTCTTAGTTCTTTAGCTCTTGGCTTTGATTACTCTTCTAACCAGTTTTTAATCCTAGACTAAAGATTGCTCCTAGCCTAAATCCTAAAATTCTATCCCCCTGCTTCTTGGCTACTTTGTAAATCAGTTTCTGAATCCTAAGCAATAGAAGTCTCCTGCTTCAGATAACTACTTGAAAGCCTGTGACTTCCTAATGTCCCCCAGGCCAGTAAGCTAAATGCCAAACCCATTCTGGGCCCAGACAACTGACGTCACCTGAGTAACAGGCTGAATGGCCACAGGCTTCATGAGAGCTAACAGATTTATTAATTAAAATCTATTTTTCCTCATTCAGGGACTTTGGGGATACAGAGGATACTCCAACAAGATTGCCGGTCACAATCAAAGAAGCCAACGCGGTCTTCCAGGTGGATCTCGAGACCCCTTACTTCCATCTGAGATCAGCTAGGGTGAGAGTTCTGTGAATCCGCCAATAGGCAGGGACGGCTCTACGCCCCTGCCCAGCAGGAAGCAGATACAGAAGAAGAGACCTCCTGTCCCTCAGCTTCCCATAGAGATTTTATGGGGATCACGTCTCTCAAGGGGAAAACTAGGCAGGCAGTTAGAGGCAAGCATTGGGCCTCTGCATTCCTGCATGTCCCACAGAATGTGACTGCCCGGTGATCTCCCTCTCAACCCAAAACTTCTTTTCATTGTAACTATCTACCCCTAAAACAAACGGGTACAAAATACCCAACTAGATCAGACCAGTCACTCGCACCTGCGCTGTACCTCTTGTCAATCACAGGTGCCAATCAAGTGGTCCCATGCCCTTCAGGGAACAGCCCATTCTAGAGAAGGGATAAAAACCCCAAGTCCTGGAAAGTTTGAGGCTTTTTCCCTTTTTTCCTTTTTGGACGCCCTGCTCTCCTGACCTCTTATTCCTTTTCGAGCCCTTTGAGCCTCGCCTTTGTGCATGGCCTGCTCCAAACTCTTTGGAATGTAATTTCTTTTCTAATAATGGGCCCTTGAGCTATTCTCTACTGCTCAGGCCCACTTCTACTCTTTGAAATGTATTATCTCTTTGAATAAACTACTTTTTCAGCGCTTTATTCTGGCATCTCATTCAATTCCTTGCTCGAGTTGCCAAGGACCTGGATTTCGCGCCGAAAAGGGCCTATTTTCCAACACTATAATTCATCTATGTTCTCTCTCCCTACTAAATACCACAAAATTCAGACCTGCTCTGGTAAAATTAATCCATTTGATCTTTCCCATACATGGCTTACATTTTTCTTTCTCTACAACATGCAAAATGCCTGGCACAATAAGTACCAGTAACAATTTGAAGCTCTACCTGGAAAGTCCTTCAGAGTATTTTGTAATTTTTTTTTTTAAAGCTAATTTCAAAACATTGCTTGAAATCTAACTCCTGCAGGGAGTCATTCAAGGTCAAATTCATCTGCATCTGTTTACTTGGGTTACCTAAGAATATGTTCAGTTTTACTATATATCTTGCCCTTGTTAACCTGTTTCTTTATAAAAGTATCTCATATTTGTGAATGTTTTTTCCTCAATCTGGGAAAACAATCTTTGATGCGTTTTATTTGTCTCATACCACAGTGCCCCAAATGACCTTCTACACACAATATGTCCTCAAAATAAGGCTAGCTGATACTTTTCTGCAAATTGAAATATTACCCACATATTTTATAATTTAAAATATTTAAAGACGGTAAACTGAATACATGCAGTTAGTTTCTTCTAACACTCCACACAGCCCAATAAAAGCAAAGATGTTTTTTGCACGTGTTTGGTTGTTTTTTAAGGCATCAGCCTACAGAACAGAAAGAATGAAATTTTAAAAAGCAACAAAACTTTGAGAGCTGACAAAGCAAAGATATGATTGGTAACTGACTCAGAAGATTCAATAAAGGTGAGTTCTTAGCCAGAAGTATAGAAAGCCAAGATCCAACAGATTTGTAATACAAGATCCCTTTAAGGCTCAGAAATTGGCAGGACCAAACACCTTTGGAATCAGAGTGAAGACAGAGCTAAAACAACTTTCTGGATGGAAAGTTCATCTAAAAAGCCTAGACCCATCCCCACCCCCCCACCACCAGTGCCAACTTTCCTGAAGTCCTCCTCTATTTAGCATAGCCACATGATTGACCCTTCCCTCGTCTGGCAAAATATTCCAAGTTTGTTCTCTAGAGAGAGTAAAACATAAGGTCTCTGGATTGGGTATATGTTTACAGGCCAAATTGTGTCTTACTCAATTTTCATATGCTAAAAAAGTCATCATCCCCAGTACCTCAGAAAGGAAATTAAGTTTACAGGCACCGTAGCCTTTCTCCCCACGACTTCTGAAATGCTTGGTTGAAGGTAGGAGAGAATGTTCACTCTAGAGCAGTGGTTCTCAACCTTCCTAATGCCGCGACCCCTTAATACAGTTCCTCATGTTGTGGTGACCCCCAACCATAAAATTATTTT